TCATCGGGATAGCTCGAGAGGTAATTTATGATGTGGGAAAAAAGATGTTTCTAAATGTATCACCGTGGAAGGGATTAATAAGATTTGGAAAGAAGGGAAAGTTGGCACCTCGTTACATCGGTCCTTATAAAATTATTACCAAGACTGGGCCGGTAGCATACAAACTAGAGTTACCTACCAAGTTGAAGAGGATTCACAATTTTTTTCATGTGAGTATGTTGAAGAAGTATGTGGATTCATTTTGCGATTATACTTGGTCGTAGTTTGGTGTTGTGTTTTAGCGAGTCAGTAAGTCTCCCTAATCTTCTGTACTAGCCAACTTGAGCTTCTACGCTGCGTATGGATTTTAGGGTTAGACAGATATGCGCCATCAAGCAAGTTGAGGTTAGATGTATGAATAGGATCCTATGGTGGTCGAGGCGATCGAACCCCTGCCATAGGAATGCCATCCTAGATAGAACCCGGTATGAAAACTCAGTGTGAATGGTGGGTAGTACCCATTGAAAGGAGCTACGAGCTTAATGCCCCAGATACGATAGCCTAGATCGAGGTGACTATAAATGGGTTTAGGGGAGGCGTACTCAGAGGTGTGTGGATAACCACGAAAGCCCACGGAAAAGACTCAAATCACCACATTAGATAAACCCTAAGTATCTAGACATTGCCCAGTAGCCCTAAGCTAGGGTGAGGGATACTTCCCCGAAGTACCAGCTTTTATCATTATTTGATGTAAAATCATGTATCTGGGTTAAATCTTACACCAAACCGGTTCGACGTCAACATAATGAATCAATTCGACTGGATTGAACGAACCATTCATCCTCGTTAATTAATGACGTGAAAAATCTAGAGAATAAATATGACATGAAGGAAATATGACAGAGGCAAATAGACGAACTCGTGAGCTCAGACACCGACGAATTCTGAAGTATAAAAAACTGTTCATCGCAAAGATTTGACCCAGCGACCTAAACTTATACAATCATCACTATCACCAGATGGAATACTGGCGGTTGATACCAATTTGTTCCTCACTTCTTTAATTAAAACCTACCTAACGAGATTTATTTCCGAAAAAGGGGACAAAGCCCCATGTCGTAGCTATCCATTCTATTGCAATAATAGTCGCCAGCATCGTATATAATTATATACTCATGAGCTCTTGGAAAAGAAGACAACCACGTCACTCGTGTATTATTTTTTACAAATAATTCCAATGATCCATCGGTCCATGAGCTGGGCAAAGTTAATATCCAACAACCATATTGTCAACCGACTGAGAAGGACACACCTGGAATGCTTCACATATATATAGAACGAAAGCTCGTTTGACGACCGTAAATCCCAATGAAAGGAAATAGAGAGATAACGAGTCTTGTGTTCTGGAGTTTTGGAGGTTGCCATAATTTTCGGGGAAAGGGTATTACGAAGCTAGAAGGGTCGTTGAAACCTTGTCAAAGCTTCGCTAGAGTTTTGTCAGAATCTTATGGCGGCAATGACATCAACTCTGAACTCAATCATTCTTCGAGTGGTTGCTACCGTTGCAAAGAGAGCGATTCGAGGAACACACACGTTTTGACGAAATCAATTTTCAATGTCGGACTAGAGAAACGAGCCCCGGAAGCTGGTCACGTGAAACTGTCAGTTTTTGAATATCAGGTACTATTTCTGTCAATTCGAAAAGTTTGAGGGGATGGACTGATTTTTTCCATAGGAAGGGTCAACTCGCTGGTTCTTTAAAAAATTGTATATTCAGGACCTGTTACTTCGAGAATTGACAAATTCGTGTTTTTTTTTATAATTCGCTTGTTTGACGTCCAAACGACGAACCGTCTTCGCCTATAGGATTGTAGAGAAGAGAAGAATTTTATCAAGAGGGATTGGAATTTTTAAAGCAGTTGTGCAGAGTATTTGGAATTTAACAAGTATAAAATAAGGAATGTCGTTATTATGATTATGATACTCAAGTAGAAGTGGACCCTATGGTGAACAGGCGGTGTGTTACTAAGTGCTCTGTGTTTAATATTGAAACATAGTTGAGGATTTAACGAAGATAAAATGAGGAATGTTGTTATTATGATTATGACACTCAAGTAGAATTGGATTATTCAAAATTGAGTATTTGGAACTTAGAACTTTGTAATTGATCCCTAGGAATCGTGAAATTCCTAGAAACTACTTTGTTATTATTTCAATAATTCATGACGTAATGTCCGGCCATGAGTTATGTGAAATTCCACCTACGAAAGAAATAATTATCCTAATACGATTACTTGGGATGGATGATTATTATATAATTGAGATTATGATGAGAATGATGATTTTATATGATGTTCAAATTAATCACATAGAATTAGAAAGGACCTGCATTTACCCCCAACTAATTGATATCGTTACTGACGATAATTAGGATCGATGAGGCCAGTGGCCAGAGAGATATGATTGTGGTTTCTGATATAACCACTGATATTATGAGGCTCGAGTAGTCGAGCGGGGGTGGATGTATGGTGAACTTGGCGCCCAAATTAATAAGATAGAAATGCATTGCACTTGCATATTGTTTGGATATTGGATGCTAGGTTGAGACTTCAACCTAGATGCCATGATTAGGTGGTTAATCGATTTACGTGAAAAAGATATCCATAGACTTCACCGTATAGGAGGGAATATCGCCACACCTCAGCTAAATAGTTAGATGACCCCCTCCCCTTGTGTTCAGATCCGCAGCAGAGGAACTGAGCTTGGACGTCGGAGCTGTGCAACTTCTACTTCATCGTCATTATAAAAAAAAAACTTCTACTCGATCGTGAGGTAGCGAATGATTGGTTAGAGGAGAGTTTTTTTTACCTATGTTTCGTATTTTAAAACAAGTATAAAAAACATGTATTATGTTGGATTTGATTGCATTAAGTTTGATCGATTGAGTTATTATAATTTATGGATTTTACCAAAATATGTAAGATGGAGATTTGAGTTTCAACGAACAAGTGTTGGGATTTTGATGTATTGAACTGGATGTTGTATGATGTTCTAGTTTAATGAACGAGATTGGATATGTATTGAATGATGTTTAGTAAATGAAAGATGCATATGTATTGAATGATGAGTTAATACATCAACCGCGTTAGTATTTTCCGTTGGGCGTGCGAACCAGTGGTTCAACGCATGAGTTGTAGGGTGGGATGTTACATTTTATCTCTTAACTAGTAGTTCACTCATATCCTCCATACAAAACCCTTAAACTTATTGGCTAGATAACAACAACGTGGAAAGTAGGATAGGGTACCCGAAACCGAGTAGAATACGTCCTTGATTGCTACTATACAACAATGTCATTTTAGCTTAAACTTGGCCTAGGACGGGGTAGTTGTTGACACATGCTAATCATTGACAATAACTTGCACAAATAAATTCAATCATGGGTAGATGGAAGTTGGGATGTAGTACGATGGACCAGAGGCTTTGGATTAAGGTATGCGATATGCCAATTCAGCCAAAGCATAAGTTCTTTGCGTTAGAGCTCCTAGAGAGACTTTTGTAGACAATGTAGGCATTGCGTGATAAAAAGGTGTCATTCCTTTCACGGTGCCAATATGTTGAGGGATGGAAGAGAGTACACAGCATCTTTTTTGGCATTGCCCAGTTGCTAGAGTCTTGTGGGAGGCGGTCGGGTTCTCTGTTAAGTTGGAATCTCTACCGACTTTGTGCTTCAATATTTTTTACGATGAATTTTGGATCGGGATTTTTTCCCTTCACGGGTTGTGAGATTGCTTTGTCTATTATAGAGAGTTTGGAAGGCGAGGAACGAGTGGTCTTTGAGGGACAGCTGATTCTCCCTAGTATCCTCAGGCATTAGTTCCTTTATTAGGTGGAGGAATGGTTGCAGGTCCCTGCGGAAAGGAGGGTCGATGCATCAGTGGCATCTGCGGCAAGTAATCATGACAATGACAGACTCTTCAATGGTTATGATTTGTTCCTTTGACGGGGCAGTATGCATGGGATCCCATGCGGCGGGTGGTCTGGTGTTATGAGAGGCGTCATGTGCATTGGTGGGGGCTCACAGGGTGATCTACAACGGTCCTCAAAATCCGATGCATGTGGAGCTTTTGGCGCTTCGTGATACGATCAGGTGGTGCCATTCCGAGGTTTGGCCAATGTTTGGATTGAAGGAGATGCTAATATAATTGTTGATAAGGTGAATGCTAGTGGAATTCGGGATGTTGCTGGTTGCGGCTTACTGGAAGAAATTTGGCATCTCCTGTCGTCTTCACCTGAGTTCTGGGGTAGGTTTGTAGGTAGGCAGAACGATAGGGTAGGGTGACTAAGAAAGCCATGTCTTTGTTTCCTATGAGTTGTAATAGTTTTGATTTCCAAGCGTGGCTTTGGTTGGAGAAAAGATCTGTGTAACTTTGTTTACTTGTTAATGCAAGCGACCTTTTCGCACAAAAAAATTTATAGACTTTATTAGGATTGATAAATTGGAGCGAAATTTTATATTTTAATTTCTGAAAAGTAACGGGTGTTAAATGGTCTCCGACCAATGAAAGAAGAAGAAAAAAAGAATGCAAAAAACTTGTTCTCATAAAATACTAGTGTCTGTATTAGGGCTCGTTTGCTTGTTGGATTTGAAAATGAAGGTTTTGAGTTTTAAAAACCTTTGGATTTATGATGGATTTGTTGCATCATGGATTTGGAAGAGTACATTGTTTGTTTAATTGATTTTTTTATAATAGATTAGTGATGGATTTGTCTCACATTTTTTCCTTCTATTGTCAACCCACGGATTTGGATCTAAAAAAGGGGTCCAAATCCGTGGACGTGTCCCTCAACAAACAAAGGATTTGTGTCAACTCCATGATACTTGGGATTTGGGTTCCAAATCCATCACCCAAATCCAACAAGCAAACGACCCTTAATTTCTTTTTTAGGTAAAAGATATTTGTGTTGGTACTTGGTAGTAAAGCTCTATGAGTTGGGACTTTGAGGTCTGAGGAAGACTCGGATTGTTTTGCCGTCTTTGTGGTTCTATCTTCTGAAATTTGGGAGAAAACTCTCATGCAGAAGCAGAAGCAGAAGCGAATGAGAATATGAGATGATGCAGAAGTGTGCTTCGACATTTATAGAGTATGGCCTTTTCAAGTTACCCTCCTCAGACCCTATCAGTTCCTCTCCACCGGCAGCTCCACAGTTATTATCACTCAAGAAGCTACGATTCCGTCAATAAAGTTTTCGGCAGTGGTTTCCCTCCCAAACCCTTAAAGCCCGCCCTTTTCTCGGTGCTTAAACCCCCTCAATCATCACTCGACACCCTCACTTCGCTCCCTGCCCAGAAACCCACGAATTCGGGTTTGCTCCAACTTTGTCTTCATGGGAACCTCGCACCAGCTCTGGAATACCTCGATTCGATGCGGCTGCAGAAAGCTCCGATTGAAGAGGAGAGTTTTATTGCCCTGGTGAGACTCTGCGAGTTCCGGAGAGGACGCAAGGAAGGTCGTTATGTGTACCAACTTGTGTTGGAATCCTTGCTGTCCCCTTTGAGTCTTAGGCTTGGAAATGCGTTGCTGAGTATGTTTGTGAGGTTCGGCGATGTAGGTAGTGCTTGGAATGTTTTTGGGAGAATGGGCGAGAGGAATTTGTTTTCCTGGAATGTTCTTGTTGGCGGGTATGCTAAAGGTGGCTTCTTTGATGATGCTCTCTGTTTGTACCATAGAATGTTGTGGATTGGCATTAGGCCTGATGTCTACACTTTCCCTTGTATATTGAGGAGCTGCGGTGGTGCTCAGGATATTGTGAGAGCAAGAGAGCTCCATGCTCATGTTATTAGATTTGGTTTCGAATCGGAGGTTGATGTGGTGAATGCTCTGATTACCATGTATGTTAAGTGTGGAGAAGTGGCAATGGCAGGCAAATTATTCGATACAATGTTCATCAGGGATACAATTTCTTGGAATGCAATGATTTCAGGGTTTTTCGAGAATGGGGACTGTCTAAGAGGGCTAAAGTTATTCTTCAAAATGCGAGAGCTTTCCATCAATCCAGATTTGATGACTATGACGAGTGTGATCTCAGCGTGTTGCCTTCTTGCTGATAATAGATTGGGGAGGGAAATTCATGGATATGTGATGAGAACTGAGCTTGCCAATGATGTTTCAGTGTCTAACTCCTTGATTGAATTATACTCCAGTGTTGGCCAATGGAAAGAAGCCGAAAAATTGTTCTCAGGAATGGAATCCAGAGATATAGTGTCATGGACGGCTTTGATTTCGTGTTATGAGGATAACTCGCTGCCTGAGAAGGCTTTGGAAACTTACTTGAACATGGAGGTTGTGGAAGGAATTGTAGCTGATGAGATAACAATAGCCAGTGTGTTATCTGCTTGTGCTAGTCTACGGAATTTGGATATAGGTGTAAAGCTTCATAAGCTTGCCACTAGGACTGGACTTGCCTCATACACTATCGTAGCAAACTCGCTCATTGACATGTACTCTAAGTGTAATTCCATTGACAAGGCTTTGGACGTGTTCCATCAAATTCCAGAAAAGAATGTGGTATCCTGGACTTCAATTATTGATGGCCTTCGAATCAACAATCAGTGCATTGAGGCTTTGTCATTCTTTTGGCAAATGATTAGAACCACGAAACCAAATTCAGTTACTTTAGTTTCTGCTTTGGGTGCGTGTGCTAGAATCGGTGCATTGATGTGTGGAAAAGAGATTCATGCTCATGTATTGAAGGCCGGAACTGGCTTCGACGGTTTCCTACCAAATGCGATTCTTGATATGTATGTAAGGTGTGGAAGGATGAGACCTGCACTGCATCAGTTTAACTTGAACAAGACAGATGTGGGGGCTTGGAATATTTTGTTGAGAGGGTATGCCCGGAGGGGACAAGGAGCATGGGCTATGGAGTTATACCGGAGAATGTTGAATTCTCACATAGTTCCTGATGACATAACATTTGTTTCTCTTTTATGCGCATGTAGTAGATCTGGGATGGTCACTGCAGGTTTGGAGCTATTCAACAGTATCAAGACGAGACGTTCTGGCAATCCAAATCTGAAACATTATGCCTGCATTGTTGATCTGCTTGGACGGGCTGGGGAGTTGGAGAGAGCATATGAGTTTATTATGAACATGCCAATACAACCAGATCAGGCAGTTTGGGGAGCCTTATTGAATGCATGTAGACTTCACCGGCATGTCCAGCTCGGAGAACTGGCAGCTCATAATATTTTCAATCTGGGGGCTGGAAGCATTGGTTACTATGTTCTCTTGTGTAATCTTTATTCAGACAGTGGTAAATGGGATCAAGTTATCAAAGTAAGAGAAAAGATGAAAGAAGCAGGGCTAGTTCTGGATCCTGGTTGCAGTTGGGTGGAAGCAAAAGGCAAAGTTCACGCTTTTCTGACTGGTGATAATTGCCATCATCCTCAAGCAAAAGATATAAATGTAGTATTGGAGGGATTTTATGAGAAAATGAAGGAAGCTGGGCATGATGGTCAAGATTGCGGTTGTATAGATGATGAAGCGGACAGATCAAAAGCCGAAATGTTTTGTGGGCACAGTGAGAGACAAGCGATTGCATTTGGACTAATTAATACTGCTCCTGGGTTGCCTATATGGGTTACCAAGAATCTCTACATGTGCCGAAGCTGTCATAGTTTAGTCAAATTCATCTCCAAGGTAGTCCGTCGGGAAATTTCTGTCAGGGATACAGAGGAGTTCCACCATTTCAAGGATGGCGAGTGTTCTTGTGGAGATGAAAGTTACTGGGAAGAAATTAATAACAAAAGATAGTGAATAAGAGCCAAGTACCCTCCTGTTTCAGCACTGAAAGTGGTACTGGCAATTGGCAAAAGAAGTTGGGTTTAGAGTAGCAAAAGCTGTCTTCTTCAGTGTACAGTTTACTGGACCTTGTAATATGTTTGTGCGTTATTTGTAACCTGGCCTCTATGCAAGGAACATGAGCAAGATGATATTTTTGTGCTTTATTTGTGGAGATGATATGTGTCTCCCACTGCCACCTCAACAGCTTGGGAAGCATAATATGTGGTGCGGGAAGTTGCAGCCCTCGTGGATTGATAGCTTCTTGCCAAGGTACCCTTTCGGTTCTCAGAATAGTGTAGTCATCTATACCAATGAAGCATGCATGCCTCATTGAGGGTATTGATTTGCAAAGATTCTTGTACAGTTGTAAGGTAAGCGCGTAAGGTACAACTTTCTTCTGTCTAGTAATGGCTGTAAGAATGTCTATTGCGATGCAGTAAGAAAAATGGTTTAACAAAATACAGTACTTGAGACTTTGAGAGTACTACCCCCCTGGATTTGATGTTCAATTACTGTTACTGTAATCAGTTTACCCTGGAGTGGGTCTCACCGTTTTGAACGTATCACTCTACTCCCGAAATCATTTGCAGTATAGTTAACCAACATAATGGTTATACCTCCTATGTCACAATAAAGTATTGGGGCAGTCCTACTCCGTATGGAGTAATCAGGAAAGAACACGAAGATCTAAAGCTTGTGTGGGCTGTGAAGTATGTGATGTGATTGTTCGTTGAATTTCCTTCAGAGCGGAAGTGATAGTGGCGAAAGAGGGCCGCAGAGAAGGATCTTGATCCCAGGACACACATATGAGATCAATTAGCTCCACCAGCTGCCCATCTTGGTCCTCCGGAAGTGCGGGTCTCAGATTTCCCTCAGCTACTTGCATTGCGATCTGTTCAAGTGCAGGGGAAAAAAGAAGCACACACTGGTTTGAAGAAATCTTTCCAACTATACTTGGTGGCCATCTAAATAAATGCTTATTTGTTGCAGTTGAACAGACTAGTACTACAATAGTAGTAGTGCATTACCTTGCTAGGACCGAAATCTGTGTTGATGTAAGGGTAATCTCCGGTGGCGATCTCGTTGAGAATGATGGCGAAACTGTAGACATCGCATTTCTCATTGTAAGGCTGACAAGCAATCACCTCTGGCGCCATGTATATGTAAGTTCCTGTTTCGCCGGTGAGTGCCATTTCTTGGTCGTTGAGGAACCTGGCGTGGCCAAAATCGGCAACCCTGACATGGTTGGCGTCGTCCAAGAAGATGTTGCTGGGCTTGAGATCGCGATGGATGACCTTATTGGGCTTCTGCTCGTGGAGGTACTGCATCGCCAGAGCAATCTCCAGGGCCCTGGCAAGGCGATCCGGCAGCGGAGGCAAGGGGACGGACCTGGCCATGCTGCGGCTGCCAGCGCCGTGCAGCCATTCCTTGAGGGTCGTCCCCAGGAACTCGGTCACCACCCAGGCGTGGTTGGGTGGGTCGAGTGATGCCCCGACTAGCTGCAGGACGAAGCGGTGCCTCTGTCTGGACAATGTGTCCAGTTCTTGGAGGAAGAAACTCACCCCGCTGTCGTTGGTGCGGAAGAAATCTGGGAAGATGCACTTGACGGCGACGTCCAGCCCTCTCCACACTCCCTTGTAAATCTCGGCCGTGCTTCCCTCAGCAACCTTTTCTTGCAACTCAATCTCTTGGGGGTGGATGTACCATCCGTTGAGGGTGGCCTGGTTGGCGAGGGCGGTGAGTTGAGAGTGGTATTGTTGGTGTGGTGAAGCTGAAGCAGGGAGGGTAGGGCTTGAAATGGGAGAGACGTTACATTCTTGGTAGTCTTTGTTGCCAATGATGAGGTCCAAGAAGCCATGGTCTTGTGCAATCTGAAGGCAGAACCTGAGGTAGTCTTGGCTTCTCTCCATTCGCTTTCGGTACATAACCCTCAGCTCCTTCTGCTTTTCTACTTGTGTTTCCAGATCCGCCACCTTCAACGCCAACAGAACCAGATAACCAAAATTAGTCAAAAAAGCAAGGCAGTGGTACGCTGGTACTGGTTGTGGTTGGTTTGTCAAAAAAAAAAAAAAAAACGAAGCAGCAGCCTCAAACCAATATTGGGGCGCCGGCCTTAGCCTTAGCCTTAGCAAGGGGTTGGGATGGGTGGCCCCCAATGGACAACACATGAGAATCCACAGCAGAAAGAGACATGCATAGGGCAGCAAAAGAAAAGGGACACGCTAAGCTAACAATGCTTGACCAAGCCTCAAAATCAAAACAAGGGTCCTCGGTTTATATGCGTTAATTTAGTACGATAAGTTCATGTCGGTTGAACAAAATATGTAGAAAGGTGAAAACAATTAACATTAAATGAATTTAATCATATATAAATACATATTTGAAGACTTTCTACTTACAATCTATATCCATATTTAAATAAAATACAACATTTCAAACAAATTAACAATAACACTCAAACTTTTATACTTGAATACATCAAATTATATAAACATTTAACTTCCAAATTAGTGAAATAAATTACAAATTTCTTTGTTAATTAAATTTACTAAAATAATGTTATTTTGTTTGGATACAGGAAATCGATCATAAAAGTGATAGTCCACAATGTTCATGGGCGGCATCAATTATACCAGGTTCAACTGACCGATACGACATTCTACTCGCATGACAACCATGCTCAAAACACAGGTTTGCCTTGGAGATTCTAGGGTTGTCCCTGTGCACCACAACTACTCTGAACCATCTACAATTGACTTCCAAATACATTTTCTCCCCCTTCCTACTTGGAAGATGAATGTTTTTCTCATAGCTTCACTATGAACACTGCAACTGTAGGGCCTTTGACATCGAACGTCCTAAGCTTGCGCTAAAGACGGAAAAACTCCCCCTTTAAACAACAAGGCAACGGCAAACAGCCATGGACGCAGGAGGAAGGGAAGGATTTGGGTGCCAACTTTTATCAATCGAGTTAATAAGTTACCTGCTGCTCCAGCTGGGTGATGAGAAGCTGCTGCTGTTTGAGTTTGGGTGGTGGGGCAATGGAATCCATACTCATGCAGTCTCCGAGTTGCCGACAACATCCGCTGCCGAAAGATCTGGAGGGTAGCGCTGCACCGGAATTAGCTGCGGGAGAAGCGGAGGGTGATTGCGGCTCTGCCAACGCAGCAGCTGGTGTTTTCTTTCGACCAAACAGCGAGCCTTGTCGCCCTTGCTTGTTTCCGCCTCCAACTATCATACTTGTTATTATGATCACGCTTCTTAATCTTCCTTAACCGCTCTACCTTGCTATCTAGCTAGCTGCAATTGGTCGATCAAGAAGAAGCTGGGATTATATGCACCATTGCTTTCTAAGCCTGTTAAATAGCGACAACTCGGGGCGGAACTGTCAATCCAACTCAACAATGTTGCTCTATTTAATTAGTGGCGAAGAAGATGTCAATCCTACATTGCCCCTTTTATATTCAAAATGCACCTCCCCATACACACAACACATATCATCCCTACTTTTTACTCTCAACTTTACCAGGACTGCAACACAACAAATCTGTCTCTTCTGGAACAACATCTATACACATTTTAGGATTGGAAATATCGAGCGTCATCTAGAATGATAATAAACCATTCAAGAGTAAAATATATTATAACAAAAATTCAAGGAAAACTTTTATGACATGGAAGATCGAGTTTAGCCAAAACAATAGAGCATACTAATAAACAATTGGGCAGTGGAAATTGCCACGAAATTTCATTTTAACAAAATCATGGACATAATAACGATATTCAATGAGTCAATCATTGGTTATTCTACTAGGACATGGGTCTTATAGCTTTTTGACGACGATTATCATTGGTCAATTATAATAAAATAATGTACGCGAAATCGACTATGCAATATATCATAATAGGAAGAAAAAAAAACGAGCAGGTATCCTTAGATCTTCGTCATCCATTTTTGTTCGTGGTCGAACAAAGGTTCATCGAGAGTTTTGAGAGAAGGAGAGAATGTATCCTTAAAGCTTCGTCCTCCAATCATTCTTCTTAGAATCACATTAACATTTTCACATCTCACGCAAATAAAAATACCTCATTTCACGAGATCTTTGTAATTGCAAAAATATCATATAATCAATTTTCATCAAGCATTCATTCTCAATCATCATCATTACACCAAAATAACGTATCATCACTTATGCGGTCGCTCATCGAGTTTTGCATATATAAACTCGATCGTTGACTATACTAGCTATCCCAACCCAGGACAAGTTCACCCAAGATCGGCGAAGTAGTATAATGGTGACCGACGTCGCATTCCAAAGAACGCGGTATCCTAGGCTACTTAGGCTCGGTTGTTATCTAACCAGCTAGTTATTTAGCAGGTGGACAGTTGTCGATTACTGAACTAGAGGTCGATAAAGGAGAAGAGGTACTCAGGGTTTCTCCCTCGCCCTAAACTTAGGTTCATCATGTAAGGGTTAGCTATGTTGGGTTTGCAGGATAATGTGTGAAACTCACTCAACTAAGGGTTTCAATAATTACTCCCCTCCTCCTACTATGATCCCAAGAACCATTGTCACCTCAGTCAAGGTTCACGCACTAGGGATGCTCACTTAGTTCCTCTCAATAGGTTCGACCTATCATGCACACTGAAGCGATCGATTGATGACGCTTGAATCATCTCCAACATTGCTCAGGATGGCATTTCATCTAGCAGGGGTTCAATCGTCTCTTCCACTAAAGGAATCCTGAGATCATTCATCTACCCCTAATTAAGCCATAAAACATTCAATCGAGTCTAGCTCTTAAACTCCTAACTTATTCAAACGACTTAGCGGTAGGCTAGAAGAGAAGAGTTGGAGAGACAAGTCATAGCATAATCAAGCATATATGAAGCATATAATCACTAAAAGAAACAAACCCATACACAAACCTTAACACAATTACATCTACATTCAAAACCTAATTCTAGGATTTGGGAGACTAGGCCCCAAAGTACCTTGAGGGATTACCCCATGAAGAGGGGGAAGAGACGTGCAAAGATGGGAAGAAAACATGAAGAAGGGTCTTCAAGTGCTGGAAATCCTCTTCCAAAACTCTCCTCCACTTATTCTTCTCGAAGCTTCTACTTCTCTCATTAACCTCACTCTAGAACAAGAAATCTTCCAAAAGTCTTATATTCAAGGGGAGGAGTCCCCAATTTATAGAATTCTAAGAACACAGGCAAGTTCACGGGCATGAGGCAGGAGATCAGGGTCGTGATCTGAAGGCAAGAGGCCTCGATCTTGGCTTCAGTGACTTTGGTCTTTTCTGGCTTTAGAGATCGCAGCCTGACTTCACGGTTGCGAACCGTGAGTCATGGCAGTGATCTTTCTCACGGGCCGGGATAGTAGGAGTCACGAGTCGAATGTCGAGACTCTCTGGTCCTCCCTTTACGGGTGCATCTTCAAGTTCGAGCCCAAAACTCCATAGTTCGCGGCCACGATCTTTGGCTTGAAAGTCGCGATCATCCTGCGCTACTTCGCGCCCCTTCATCTAGGTCGTGATCTTCACTCCTTCAACAGCGAAATCCATTTTCCCCCCTTTTTCTACATTTGTGACCTCATTTTTCACCTAAAACGTTGATATCATATAAAACAAACTAAAATGAAAATACTCTCTTCGATGAACGAAAAAGGGATGCATTTGATGATATATTGACCATTGAATGACTCAAAATGACCTTAAATATGAAGGCTAAATAACACCATTTTGGATTTTATCAAGCACCTAGCATTCAGTTAACGACTAATCTATATCTATCTATCTATATCTATATCTATATCTATATCTATATCTATATCTATATCTATCTATCTATCTATCTATCTATCTATCTATACTATATATTATGGCAATTCAAAAAAAAAAAAAATCTTGCCACATAAGCACTTGGAGGATCCACAATTTGCCAAGTTGGACTACTTTGTTACAAACAAAAAATTAGTTATTAATGTATTCATGTAGCTACATCTCTCTTGTTTAATATTTTCATTTCTTTTATCCATTTATTCTTTTTCATTTATCCATTTATTCTTTTTTGTCTTTAATAATAAGTTACATGTTGATAAACTTAACCAAACACACATAAAAAATAAATTTTTGTTAAATAAACAAAATATAAATAAGAAAACAGAGAGTGACATATATCACATTTGTTTAAATAAAAAAATATCTGATTAAACCTTATGAAGTAAATTTTCTACTCATTTTTACTAAAATTGAATGATAAGTTACATTTTGATGAAAAGATTAAACAAACATACACGTAAACAATTATGTTTTAATCGATTAAACCAAAATATATATGAAAAGAGAGAAAATAAACATTTGACATTCAATTACCTTTGAAAAATAAACTATATTACTTTATATTTTGTTGCAATGAAACACTCTCTTATTCGTACAATATATATCTATAAAATAAAATAAGTATTATTTAGCAAAATGTCAGAGTATAATCTTCATCGAGTAATTACAGTTATTTATTTAAAAAAACTTCTTATTCATTCGGATTATGTTCTACCTTAAATTCCTCAAATGAAGAGGAATCGCATGTGGAATAATTTGATAATGTGTCCTAAGTTCACATGAATAATATTTGCTCTATATCATGTTGATTAAGCAAGCTCTATTGAGGTTCTAAGTCGTATGCTAAGAAATTTTCTTTTAGACTTGAAGTTATCGTCGACGATTATAAATCAAAATTTTCAAAATGACTTAAGTATGATTGTTGACGAACTTTGACTTCATACCCTAGGATGAGACACAAGATTCCTTGAAAAATAATAGATGTGAATGTTAGAAAAATCTTTGTTGAGAATCTACGATAAACATCATGTTTCATCAACTACTAACCTAGGCATTTACCAAATAAAGGTTGGCAACTTTTAGTAAGATAGTCAATTGGGATAAACATATTTATCCAGCAATCAAGTATCTTTATCCAATAATCTCAACTCTCAAAATTGGTTGCCAGTTCGTCCAAACTCGAGAAACACGAATTGATATATGTTGTATAAGATAATAAGTTAATGCAAATAATCATATGAAATCCACTGATATTGTTCAAATGATAAGACATTTTAAATGCACATGAAATATGTGTGTATTGGAGACACTCTTTATCAATTATTAATATATAAGTGATAAAATCTTCAAAAATTACACATTCAACGACCATGTTAAGACCAAAATCATTGATAGTGTGTGTGAGTGCCTTAGATTCAGATTCTAAGCCAACATATAAACAATGGCCACCAGTTGAGGTTTAGTATAGACTTCAAGAATTAACATGTATGCATAATAATATACATGTAGTGATGACAATAAATAGATGCATTGTTATCAATGCATGCATAATAATATACATGTATATAAGAAAATCGGTGTATTGTAGTTTGCATCGTTTGGTTTATGTGATAATTATTGTGTTATTTAAATAAGTTATCTTACTTTTTGGGTGAAATATCACTTTTACCCTTTGTTTGTAATATAAAAAAGCAAGACACGTAAAAAGGTAGGGACAAAATTTGAAGAAAAAAAATACACAACAATCTCAATCAAACAATCTCAAAACTTGAGATTTAACTATCACTCATTTTGAGTGATAGTTTGTGTCACATCAAGCAAGCAATGCATGTATTGTTTGTGCAGAAAATTCAGAAAAACGATGCATTGTGGACAATACATGTATTGTAACTATCTCAACCAAACAATCACCAAAACCAAACGACCCCTAAATTTCAGTGTCTGGATAAAAAAAACAAACATCCAAAATGGAAATTAGTGGAGATTAGAGAATTTAGTCATCACGAGAGCTACGGTGTGTGTCAAATTTCAATATGGATGAATAAATCCAATAGTGAAGTATCTTTATTAAGAATTTCTCACTAAAAAGTCCTAATCTTTACAAAATTGGTCGAGAGTTTGTCCAAACTCGAGGATCATGAATGTGTATTGGATTTCTAAAGGACCTAAAATCACAATCCCTTTCGGGGGCTAAAATCTCTGATCACAACCATAGGTGCTAAAGTAGAATGAAAAAAAGCCCAAAAAAGCAAAAAAGAACATAACTTCCGATACGATTAACATAATAAAACTATATC